ATGTAAAGCACATGGCGTGGATAAATTACGATTTAAACCTATTTATGATAAGAAAAAATACTACATCTTCGAAGTTAAACGTTTGTTAAAGATAATGGTATAAGTATATATTTTTTTTATCACTGTGGTATGATTTGTAATTCCTCACGTTACGAATCCTCTCTACGAGTCCGTCTTTCAAGAAGTATAGGTTAGGTTCCCGTCTTTGATATCCACTTCGATTGATATTTTCATAGACCATATAGGATCTGTAGCACGTTTACGGGTGTCTCCCTCGTATTCACCTGGTTGATATAAATATCTAACAAGCGATCTGGAATTTCTTTTTTCCTTTTACGACGGGGTGCTGCTGCCTCTGATACAACGGATTTCATACGGATTGCTTCTACTGGTCTCTTATTAAGTAGTCTTGTTATTTCATGATTCATGAAGTCAACCACCCGTGGAAGTCGTTCTACCCATTCAGTGGTTCTGTTATTAGGATCCGCTAAATCACGTGAATATTGGTGTGAAAACAAACGTTCGGCTATGGAGCGATTGAATCTCTCTACTATAGCTTGACTTCGATGGACTCCCACCTCAACGCGTCTAACTTCTACGTTATGCTTGGTTAGAAGTTTCGACACGGATCCCATGAATTCCTGGCCTGGATCGACTTGCAATAAATCAGGCCATGTAAGCCAACTACGCTTGTATATTCACTTAAACGCTTGTGCTACTTGATCCGACTCTTTCGTGGTTAATGGTTCAGCTTCCTTGTAGCGGCTGGCTACGTCTACAACTGCCAGGACGTACTTATAGGTTTTACCTCTCACCCTGTCGTGTGGAAGAAACAACAGGTCAGCCTGGTGAACTTTATTAGGTGAAGGTATACCGAATCTTCTCCTCGGTATATACATGTATTTTGGTGATGGTAAGTATATTTGCCATATAGCTTGTTTTTGTAACCAGGCTTTGGCTTTTTCTTCCGAAAAACGTGCGGCTTTAGATAATTTTGTAATAGCGTCTACCCCTTTCCAATATCCTCGCGGGTTGTAGTAAATTTTCTCCATTATATATATAAATTTTGAAAAAATTATGACCGTAAGCAAAGGTTTTGACACCATCTGAAGCTATCCATCGTTTTGTATCCATTGGTGATAGAGACGTTTTATTTATAGTCATCCCGTATATCTGGTGCCCGTCACTACGAAGTATGTTCATCTGGTGTTTGAACCTTTTTCTACTCGACAGGGTCTGTTTGTAGAGGGTATGTTTATTATGTCGTTTCACCACATTCTTTTTCACACCTTTAGCCTTTCTTATTACAGCGTCGTCTGCTTTTTTGATAGAATACATCTTAGGTCTCAATCAGACCTATTCGGTTATTGGTGTGCCAGCACATTCTTCCTTCATCTTACCTAACACCTTTTTGTTGATTTGGCTATGCATGGGGTGGTGTTTTGGGTAATCGCTGGTATCGTATAAGTGTATATTGTTTTTCATATCCTCGTACACGTCCTCGGTTTGAATTTCCATGAGTAATGAATCCGTATCCGTGTACAACACCTCACACCCTTCACCGTATTGTTTCTTGTTCTCGTTATAGTAGAAGTCATACATGAGATGTTTGGATAGGTCTAGAATGCTCATACCAACATAAACCCGGTCGATTAAGTATAATGGGCTCTTTTCATATGTATTGCTGCCAAGTCATCATCGAATATAATACTTCTATTGTATGCCGGCTGGATATCAATTTCCTGAGTTTGTTTTCCTCACTCGACCGGACTAGCTTCACGTTAACGCGTTTTCGTGAAATTCTCCATCGTTTTGCCAAATACAGAGTTGTTCATGAGTTTGTAAAGGTTTTTTCTCCGAAGTCGCTGGTGGCTATCTTACGTAAATTCGTGTTCATTCTGATGTATGGTTTCATCCACTGGCTTTGATTGAATTTTAGTACCCTGTGTATTTTTAGTCAGCTTCATACCCAGCGACAGATATAGTTGTAAATTGCGATAGTGAATGATGTACTTGGTTTTATTCATCAAGTTAGGTACGAGTTTTCAACGTTTACCACCCGTCCTGTAGGACCCAGCAAATTTCGTTGGTAGTCAGACATCCATTCCATATTCACCTCCAAACGCTCTGGAGCCAGGGGATAACTGTTGTGTGAGGTGTGTAAACGCTCCGGATATTCTAAATCCACTTCGAGTATATACCCTTGTTCGAATCGGTCGCGATGCTCATAACATCATCGATCTCAGATGTCCACTCATCGAAACCACAGGTAGGTAGATACTGGCTCATGGCCCAGCCGTACAGGTTGTTTGCATCTAGATAGAGTAGATAGTTTGTAAGTTTTTTAGGGTTGTAGCCTTTCACATACTCGTTGTTAGCTTTGGCGTAACATTTTGATACCACAGAAATACCACCGCGTAACCCTTTCTCTATAAATAGATGCATATCGTAATCAGTGAATAATTCTAATTTCACACCGGTTTTCTTCAGTAGGGCATCCCACGAGAGCCCAGGACTTGAATAATACCATGCCGGGTCCAACCCTTATTGCTTCGAACACGTTTTTCTGAATATCTCGAATGCATCAGCCAGCAATAACACGTCTGTTTTCAAATACAAATCGTGGTAATCACCTAAATTCTGACAACCCAGTTTTTCCCATACTTTTTTCGCGTGTTCGTAATCGTCTTGTGTGATAGACGCGTCGGCCGACAGCTTGCTATAGAAGCTGTCAATGGGAGGTAACTGTGTCTCATTAAACTTAGACCAGTCATCCATGTCTTCATACGGGTAGATACCCTTACGTAGCAGCAAAGCTCGAGTTTCCTCTTCGGTGTAACGATTAGTTACAGCTAAGTCGTTCGGGTTACTAGCCTTGACCAAGCTGTCTAGAGACGACAACAGAAACTGAACACTATCTATTTTTACCTACAGCATGCTCAGTAGGCGTGAATTGTAATTCTATAGGTTTTTGTTCTTTCAGTAATTCAATGAGCTCAGATTTCCTCATATGAGAATAACCTCGCATTCCACGTTCACGAGCTTGCTTTGTTAGTTCTTTCACAGTAAGTGTTTTTTTATGCTTCAAACCTAATAAATCTAGTAATTCATGTTTTCTCATACGAGAATAACCTCGAAGTCCACGGTCTCGTGCTTGCTTTTTCAATACATGTACTGTAAACATATCATAAAGTGACAAACACAGTGTTGATATTATATGTGAAAACAATTCTCTAAACAGACAAACATCCTTCATGTTAAACATAAGATGTAATGTAATAGATATAGTATTGTGTAATCTAGCCCGTAACATACACCTTTCCTACATCGAGGGACTTGATACCCTTTGCTTCATGAAATGTGACACTCTCGTGGTTAGAAAAAGACATAAACACAGTCTTCCTCTGGAAAACTATTTTACAGGTAGATAAAAGTTATAGGTTTACAAATTAATAGGATACTTATTGATTCCATGCCCCGTACCCCATAGTCTTCCTCTTTCGAGTAAGACTATAGCTACTTTTTACAGGTGAGGTGAAAGGTAGTTATGTTATGGAATAGATACTTATTGATTGCTTGCCTTATATAGGATGACCCCATACACAATAGTCTTACTCTTTCGAAAAGACTATGGATACTTTTTACAGGGGAGATAAAAAGTAGTTGTGTTATGGGTTTATGGTCCCGTACCACATAGTCTTTCGAATAAGACTATGGTTACTTTTTTACAGGGGAGATGAAAAGTAGTTGTGTTATGATTTTAAAAATAATATGAGTTAGGAAGAGATCCTTATCGATTCCTTGCCTTATATAGGCTGGTCCCGTACCCCCATTGTTTATATTACTGACGTCAGCATGCAGAGAATTGCCATGCAGGAAAATGATCAATCAATCAACAAATATTCCCGAAAATACAAGGATGGCAAATTCTGTTTTTAATCAGCAGGTGATATTTTGTCATGTAATATTTGATTGTATGTGAAGGGATTTGATTTGATTAGAGCACAAAGTACCAGAAAAAAATATAGAGAGAGATAAGATAAGATAAACTGTATTGTCCCACAAGGGACATTTGTCTTGCATTCAAAGAGCCAATACAAGCTTATAACAACAAATAATTTAAAGTATATATATCCGATTGAATGGCCAGATGTTTCTTCTTAACTTTTGATTCATACTGAAAAGGTAGAGGTTCGAAATTGAAGCCGCAAATTTTGCTGGATATGTTTGAACAATTTTGTCAAGTTTGTTTTTCTGTGTAAGAGGAAGATTGTCATACCAGGCATGAAAGCAGAAAGTTAAAATAATATTAATGGATGTTTGGTATAGTAATTTTAAGATATTAGTTTCGTATAGTAATTTTAAGATATTAGTGCCTACATTAAATGATCGCAATTTTCGCAGAAAGAAAAACCTCAGTTGTGCTTTTCCTATGTACACGATGTGAATTTGATTTCCATGAAGGTTTACTATCAATGATAGATACCCAGATATTTATACTCTGCTACTGTTTCTACTTCCTGTCCATCCATACAAACAGGTTCCAATGTGTTTTGTTTTTTAGCTTCGGAAGTCAATTATCATTTCCTTTGTTTTATTTATGTTCAGGGAGAGGAAATTGTCTTTGCATCATGAAGTAAACGCATCAATAATTTTCCTATACTCTAACACTCCGATTGACGAATAAAACCAACCAAAGCGGCATCATAAGCAAATTTGTTTGTCTATCTATCTATCTATCTATCTATCTGTCTGTGTGTCTGTGTGTCTGTGTGTCTGTGTGTCTGTGTGTGTGTCTGTCTGTCTGTCTGTCTGTCTGTCTGTCTGTCTGTCTATAATATAACGACTACTCACTTTCTGAGTAGTTTGGCCTATATTAACCTTTATGAATACATTATGAATATATAGAGAGTGATGACACAACTTTATGGATGATCAACTTCTTTATTTCAACAGTGGCGACGTTTCGGTAAGAACCTATACCATCTCTAATACCGACCGATGACAGGGACACACACAATGGGGGATGCACCCCAGCAGACCGCAGAACAGACAGTGATGAAGACACGTCATCAGACGTTGAACATATGGAACCTGTAGGTATTGCCAGGGGCTGCCCACAAGGAGCAAGTGAAGGAGCCGGCATGGAGGGTGCAGAAAACAGGGATGTTGATGAAGAGAGTGGCGGATCTAGTGATGGCACAGACGAGGAAGAAGGGGATGGGATACAAGACATGTCACAACTTGGTGCAGGTGCTGTAGCGGTCAAATTCCAGACTGTTCGTCAACAGTCATATCAGCTTGTAGGTAAAGGTATGTGTGTCTTAAGGAAATAATTATAGCAAGTGATACTTTCTTGATGCAACGACAGTCACACCTAAATGAATGTTATAGTGAAGTATGGTAGACTGTATTTACCTCTCCATTATAATCACCAAGTTCTCACAACATTGTATTATGCTGGCGATGAATCCCATTGAACCTGAACTGAGTGTCGTGCACCAATGTTGCTGTACACATTTTACACACTTTTCACTATAAACTTACTGACAGTTATCCCTGCTATGTTGTACATATCTTTGTAGCAACATTCTGAGAGGTAATATTCCAACTGACATTGGCTGAGAGAGGTTCAAGATTTGAGTGTTTAGACGTGCTAGGTTTGAATTGTAAGAAGGGTTCACCAATGTTAACAGAAATTGTATAAACAATCCATGAATACGCATTTGATAAAGATAATTGTATTGTGTCAGCGGTAGATTGTGTCAAAAGTAAACCGCTGTGTCCTGTGAACCATTGTTCTTTTACCCACTGTAAGCCGTTATGTTATTTCGTACAATTCAGGTGAGTTATAGACATCCGTGGCTCTATTTAGTTGGCCATTTAGGTTTTGAAAGCCCTGTGGTAACAGGAAATACAGTCAGAAATATGAACAGCCATGAATATGAATACCCATATGAGGAACAAGTTTATAAACGCTCCACTAGGTTTAGCCAAGCAAAACGAAACAATGAATATTTGATGAAATTATACAAACAATTGGTTACCTGTTACTCTACTGTGGTGTGTTGTGAGTAGTGGTGAAAACCAGATTGCCTGACTGAATGTTACAATCATGATTCCCCTGCTGTGACAAACTTAAACTATGTAGTGTGTGCATTATGCCATTTTAACAATGTCAGTATTCATATGTCATTGTTCGTGTTATGTTATTGGACTGTTTGTTTCGTAGATACGAAGTCACTAGTACAACACATTGTGGGATGTTGTCAGCCAGCACAGGGAGAAATAACATCAGCACCACAGCAACAACAACAACTCGAACCAGGATCAGGTGGTGATGGTGATGGTGATGGTGATGGTAATGGAAGAGCAGATCAACACCTGTCCACAAGTACAACTTGTGTAGTTCCGAAAACAAGTCCACAGGTCCTGGGAACATCAGCCCTGACACCACCGTCAACATCGTCTCGTCTGCACCAAATACCAGGATCTCTTGTATCACAGATACAGTCCTCTGGGTTGCTTGAAGTACCAATAACTGGGGACTCTACTGGAGGTGGGTGGGTTTACCCGATATTGTTGACCTCTTTAAGATAAACTATCAACTTATCTCACCAACCATTAGAATCCTACTTCTCACCAGATAAGATCAGATCACTAACATTTACCAATACCTCACGTTTTGTCTATTCCCAGTATCTCCTACCTTTTAGGTATAGCATATCTCTAGCTTTGAAGCTGTGGTATCAATGTCGCCAGTGTTTGGCAGAGTGTCCATAAACATACACAGCCTCCATGGAAGCTTGTTTGACCTCAGCACAAGTCTTTGTCAAGCTGTGTTCAGTGATATCGAAGCAATTTATGAACAAACGTAACTTGGCAGTCGCCTTTCAAAAATATATGTTGAAGTTATCTCTGTTTTCAGAATCAGTAGTGATATTGGAGTAAAAAAATGGAATATATCTGTGAAACCTTCAGTCATATGGCTTCTGTTACAACAGTTTTGTACCTGTGAAGGTCCGGGTTACAATATTGGCCTTCAGTAACCCATGCTTGTCGTAAGAGGCGACCAACGGGATCGGGTGGTCAGGCTCACTGACTTGGTTGACACCTGTCATCGGTTCCCAATTGTGCAGATCATTGCTCATGCTGTTGATCACTGGATTGTCTGGTCCAGACTCGATTATTAACAGACCGCCGCCATATAGCTGGAATATTGCTGAGTGCGGCGTAAAACTAAACTCACTCACTCACTCACTACAGCAGTTTCGAGACGTGACAGTAAATATGTGAATGTCAAATTTCATGCAAAGTGCTTTACTTAGGGTTATTCTTAAATAATTTAACTTTTCAAATAATTTTTATCTAATGCAATCTTTTTTACTGCAGTTACGTTTTTCCGTTAGTATATTGAACCTTCACTTATATGACTTCTGTTGCAGTCAAACAGTGCAACTTTTTCAAACTAGTGTTTTTGTCTGCAGATGTTATAACCTGTTTTCAGAATCACTAGTAGAAACTAAGTTCAAATATGGAACATATCTATGTAAGCTTCAGTCATGTGGTATCTGTTACAGTCACGCAGTACAACCTTATACAAGTACGGCAGGACTTTGGTGATGTGACACTGAAGGGGGGCAAGAATCTGAACATTGGCGGAACTCAGAATGTCGGTACAGCTCCGACCAACAAAGAGGAAGAAGAGAAACCACTGACTGCAACACAGAAGATCAGGAGTGAGTTATTTGACAAACTTGTTTTCACAATAATTGTCCATATGGTGGCAATGTACAAACCAGACTGATATAATCGATGTACACACCTGTAAAGGAAGTACAGTAATGGATAATAAATTATGGTAAAGTCCATTCAATAGATTTAACTCGGAAGATCCGTGTTAGAACCGGTCTTCAGCAGCCCGTGCTTGTCTCACCGTGAAGATCCGTGTTAGAACCGGTCTTCAGCAACCCATGCTTGTCTTAAATGGCGACTAGTGAGACGGCCAGGTTCGCCAACTAGGTTGATGAATGTCATGGCCTCCCACTATTTTAGATGAATGCTTCTGATATCAGTCATAGGGTTGTTCTGCTAAGTCACGCACGCACGCACTCACTCACTCACTTATATAGTATATAATTGTGATACTCCTAAGTATACTTTCTTATCTTAAATGCATCTCATATATTCACCTGAACAGTTTCACATCAAACTCCACAGTAAAAGAGTTATTTCAGTTGGCCCTTTAGAATGAAAGTGTGCAAACTGGATTAACACTTGCCAGTGTAAAAAGAAGTATGTTGTTTAAAATATATTCAGTTACTAAAACGGGCAGAAAATGTTTTACTCCTCAACATTATTCAGAAAACATCAACCTGATCAAACGATAGCCTGTCTGTGGAAGTGTGTAGGAAACATTATCTGGTTCAGTTCATCCTCATCGTTTCACATGTTAGTGACAAGATTACTAGATTCAAAGGTCAACAGTTCTGAATAAGACAAATGTCGAAAGGATTGGTAATGATCAAAAGTCAATAAGAACAGCGCACCTGGCATATGCAAATTTGTCACAGCACAAGAGGGGGTACAGAAGCAGCATGTTTACAATGTCTGTAGCGAGTGTGTCCACCTTGTGCATTGATGCAGGGCTTGTACCATTGCCTCACTTAGATCACTAAACGTCCATAAGAGTCATTCCGAGAAAGGTGTTGCCTGGACGATTCGTATGGCGCTGTGAAAGTCGCTCCATTTCATCCCAGGCGTGTTCAGTGGGGAAACAATTAGTGGATCTTGCTGGACAACATTTTAACACTGTTCTGATTAGGACACTGCTAGACAACTCGAGTAGCATGGTTAACTGGTCATCAGGCTGTTCACCTTGCACGGAGGCCGTAGGCACGTTATTCTCATTAAACTGTTATCACAGATGCTCTTCTATTGCTGGGTATCGGTACAAACAAAAATGGTTGCGGGGGCAGTCTACATCTTGATTGTTTTGCTGAAAATATCGCCATAATATAGGAAATGGTGTTTCGTTGAATCGACAAGCAACGTTACGCTGCTCTATCTATTACTCTCCATCTGTCACTGTCCCAGAGGCATGACTTTGTTGATATTCTTAATTTGATGGGTGATCCGAGTGATTATTGGCCACGTCTTGTTACTGGCATTGCCTAGCACAACATCGGATTTGTGTTTATTCTTTACGCAATCTTTAGGTCTTCTGCGATTTCAACAGATGACCGAAATTTGGGTAATGTCTTTTTTAAGAGCCTTAACACAATTTCAGTAACTTTTGTATAGGGCAGTGGGGTAGCCTAGTGGTTAGAACGTATGCTTGTCCTGCCGAAGACACGGGTTCGATTCCCTTTTCTGAAGTAAGATGTTTAAATCTTAAGTTTGTTAACTGTTGCAAATATTTCATTCATAATTGTTTTAAATCTGCCTTGTGTCCACAGAGAGGACGGCATCCAGAATACAGTCATGGACAAAAGACATGGTGGAGACAGACGCCCTCAAGCAAGTGATAAAAAAGCTGGACAGAGGAGCGACATGGGTGACAATTAAAGGAAGACCAGGAGAGGGGAAGTCCACAACAGCCTACATGGCTCTCAAAAACCTTAACAATCAGGGGAGACAAGTATACCAAGTTGAGTCACCAGAAGAATACAGCGAGGTCATGATGGCCTGTAAGAACCCTGTAATTATGTTAGATGACATATTCGGTGATCTGGAATTCGATGCAGCTGAGTGGGCGAAGTGGAGACCACGTCTACGACCTATGGTGGATGTTAAACATCCTGACACATATGCAGAAAAAGATGTTTTGGGCATTTCTACTAAAAGTGAGAAGGTTTCACAGATGACCAAAGTTGATCAAACAGAGGTGAAACGAGAAACTATCATTATCCTCGTAGGTCGTGACTATGTGCTGAAATCCTCATTGGCAGACTTGGGAAGGATGGCAGATTACATTTCCAGTCCCCAATATGTGGTGGAAGTTTCCTCACAGAGAGCCTCTTATGAGCGAAGGAAGATATTGCGTGTTCATGCTGAAGCAAAAAACATAGACATCGAAGAGTCAACTGAGTCTCTGATATGTAAGGCAGACTGTCCACACGGCTTCCCCCATGTCTGTAAAATGTTTGTCGCAGCATATGAAAAGGATTGGACTCACCGTGAAATGCAAATGTTTTTTCAAGCGCCACTGGATTTCCTCAACAAAACTTTGAATAAACATTTGACAGATAAAATAAAGCGCTCACTGTTCATGGCTATAATTAAAAGAGATGGAAAGATTAGTGGACAAGAAATGGAGGAGGATGATAACTTCGGTTATGAATACATAGCAGCTGCTGATAATATGGTTGGATCTTACCTCAAGAAGGAAGATGACACCTACGTGTTTGATCATCCGTCTATATATGACAGTGTTTCCTTTATTCTCAGTACAAAACAACCAAAGTTTGTCATTGAAAATTGTAGTTTGTCCTTTATAAATCAGCGACTTCGTCTTACACCCTCCAGTAAAGAGACAAAAGAGAAAAACGTTGCTGGTGAGACAGATCTTGTTGCAAACGTCTCATGGACTTATGCTAAACTTTTGGCCAGAAGATTTGCAAGTGAAATGCAACGGAGCAATTTGTCGCATGTTTTATCACACCAGTCACTTTGTTATTCAGACTTTGTCGACTTGCTAATGGACTGCCTGAAGACCCAGTTTCACATGAGTGCATCTGATATTGTGAAACTAACTGATAACTCATCAAACGAGTCATTTTGTGAATTACTTTCCAGCAACAAGTCACATCATCTCATCAAATATATGATGGAGGCAGAAAATATCTCATTCACCCAGAGTGAAGGAAGGGACATTTTACTGGGTGTGTGCACGAATGCTGCATGCGGTATACTGAAATACATCAGTGGACGTATGAAACTTGAGGTAAATGCTACATACGGTTGGAGGGAAAACACGCCTCTTATGTTGGCAGCAGAAACCAGGGACAGTGAGTTTGTCAATCAGATTTTGTCTCTACACCCCGACCTAAATGCAAGAGACATTCTAGGCCAAACTGTTTTTAATTATCTTTGTGAAAATGGCCATACATCAGCTGTGAAGCATGCGATTAACATGGGAGTGGAAGTTAATCAGTATCGTGGACCATTCCTGAGCCCCAGTGTGTACACTGTCATACGGAATGGTCACTTAGATGTTGTGGAACTGTTGGTTAACAGAGGATGTTACATAGATAACCAGGACGGTCTTAAATATGCTGCATTGAGCCTGAACGCGAACATGGTACGTTATTTTTTAGACAGAGGAGCAGTGGTTGACAGCAGTGCTGTGTGCAGAACCTGTGAGGTCGGGAACAGACATATAGTTGAGATACTGTTTGAGAAGGGTGCTACTGTTGATATGATGTCACCTGATGGAAGAGCTCCTCTTTCCAGTGCATGTGAAGGAAACCCAGCAGTTGTCTCTTATTTGCTGACGAAAGGAGCAATTGTCAACCAAGCTTCAAATGTTACAGGTAACACACCACTTCATACAGCAGCAGGACGGATATCTACAGCGTGTGTTGATGTGTTACTGAAGGCTGGAGCTGATGTTCATGTACAGAATAATAAAGGTACCACACCACTTCATAACGCAGCACAGTTGGGATCTACAGAGTGTGTTGATGTGTTACTAAAGGCTGGAGCTGTTGTTTATGTACAGAATAATAAAGGTAACACACCACTCCATAAAGCAGCAGGACGGATATTTACAGCGTGTGTTGATGTGTTACTGAACGCTGGAGCTGATGTTCAAGTACAGAATAATACAGGTGACACACCACTTCATACAGCAACAGAGTGGGGATCTACAAAGTGTGTTGACGTGTTAGTAAAGGCTGGAGCTGATGTTAAAATACAGAATAATACAGGTAACACACCACTTCATAGAGCAGCAGCAGCAAAGTGGGAATCAACAGCGTGTGTTGATGTGTTACTGAAGGCTGGATCTGATGTAAATGTACAGAACAATACAGGTGACACACCACTTCATACAGCAGCAGGACGGGGATCTACAGAGTGTGTTGAAGTTTTAGTGAAGGCTGGAGCTGATGTTAATGTGCAGAATAATACAGGTGACACACCACTTCATACAGCAGCAGGACGGGGATTTACAAAGTGTGTTGATGTGTTAGTAAAGGCTGGAGCAGATGTTAATGTACACAACAATACAGGTAACACACCACTTCATAAAGCCACAGGACGGGGATATACAAAATCTGTTGATGTGTTACTGAAGGCTGGAGCTGATGCTAATGTACTGAATAATACAGGTGACACACCACTTCATACAACAACAGCATCAACGTGGGGATCTACAGAGTGTGTTGATGTGTTGGTGAAGGCTGGAGCTGATGTTAATGTACAGAACAATACAGGTGACACACCACTTCATACATTAGCAGGACGGGGATTTACAAAGTGTGTTGATGTGTTATTGAAGGCGGGAGCTGATGTTAATGTTCAGAATAATACAGGTGACACACCACTTCATACAACAGCACGACGGGGATCTACAAAGTGTGTTGATGTGTTGGTGAAGGTTGGAGCTGATGTTAATGTACAGAACAATACAGGTGACACACCACTTCATACATTAGCAGGACGGGGATTTACAAAGTGTGTTGATGTGTTATTGAAGGCGGGAGCTGATGTTAATGTTCAGAATAATACAGGTGACACACCACTTCATACAACAGTAGCAGCAAAATGGGGATCTACAAAGTGTGTAGATGTGTTACTAAAGGCTGGAGCTGATGTTGACGTACAGAATAAGGCAGGTGACACACCACTTCATACAGCAGCAACGGCAAAATCGGGATCTACAGAGCTTGTTGCTGTGTTACTGAAGGCTGGACCTGTTGTTAATGTACAGAACAATACAGGTGACACACCACTTCATACATTAGCGGGACGGGGATCTACAAAGTGTGTTGATGTGTTACTGAAGTCTGGAGCTGATGTTAATGTACAGAATAATAGAGGTGACACACCACTTCATACAACAGCAGCAGCAAAATGGGGATCTACAAAGTGTATTGATGTGTTCCTCGAGAATAGAGCTTATGTTACTGTACAGAATAATACAGGTGACACACCAATTCATAACGCAGCAGCTGTGTGGGGACCTCCATGGTGTGTTGATGTGTTGGTGGAGGCTGGAGCTGATGTTAATGTACAGAATAATGCAGGTGACACACCACTTCATACAACAGCAGGACGGGGATTTACAAAGTGTGTCGATGTGTTCGTGAAGGCTGGATCTGATGTTAATGTACAGAACAATACAGGTGACACACCACTTCATACAGCAGCAGGAATGGGATCTAGAAAATGTGTTGATGTGTTACTGAAGTCTGGAGCTGATGTTAATGTACAGAATAATACAGGTGACACACCACTTCATACAACAGCAGCAGCAAAATGGGGATCTACAAAGTGTGTTGATGTGTTACTGAAGGCTGGAGCTGACGTTCATGTACAGAACAATACAGGTGACACTCCACTTCATGGGGCAGCAGCAGCAAAATCGGGATCTACAGAGCGTGTTGATGTGTTACTAAAGGCTGGAGCTGATGTTAATGCACAGAACAATACAGGTGACACACCACTTCATAAAAGCAGCAGCAGTGTGGGGACCTACAGTGTTTGTTCATGTGTTACTGAAGGCTGGAGCTGATGTTAATGTACAGAATAATAGAGGTGACACACCACTTCATACAGCAGCAGGACGGGGACCTACAGTGTGTGTTGATGTGTTGATGAAGGCTGGAGCTGATATTAATGTACAGAATAATACAGGTGACACACCATACATACAACAGCAGTAGCAAAGTGGGAATCTACAGATCATGTTGATGTGTTACTGAAGGCTGGAGTTGATGTTAATGTACAGAATCATACAGGTGACACACCACTCCATACAACAGCAGGACGGGGATTTACAAAGTGTGTTGATGTGTTGGTGAAGGCTGGAGCTGATGTTAATGTGCAGAATAATACAGGTGACACTCCACTTCATACAACAATAGCAGCAAAATCGGGATCTACAGAGCGTGTTGATGTGTTACTAAAGGCGGGAGCTGATGTTAATGCACAGAACAATACAGGTGACACACCACTTCATAAAGCAGCAGCAGTGTGGGGACCTACAGTGTTTGTTCATGTGTTACTGAAGGCTGGAGCTGATGTTAATGTACAGAATAATAGAGGTGACACACCACTTCATACAGCAGCAGGACGGGGACCTACAGTGTGTGTTGATGTGTTGATGAAGGCTGGAGCTGATATTAATGTACAGAATAATACAGGTGACACACCATACATACAACAGCAGTAGCAAAGTGGGAATCTACAGATCATGTTGATGTGTTACTGAAGGCTGGAGTTGATGTTAATGTACAGAATCATACAGGTGACACACCACTCCATACAACAGCAGGACGGGGATTTACAAAGTATGTTGATGTGTTGGTGAAGGCTGGAGCTGATGTTAATGTGCAGAATAATACAGGTGACACACCACTTCATACAACAATAGCAGCAAAATGGGGATCTACAAAGTGTGTAGATGTGTTACTAAAGGCTGGAGCTGATGTTGAGGTACAGAATAAGGCAGGTGACACACCACTTCATAAAGCAGCAACGGCAATATCGGGATCTACAGAGTGTGTTAATGTGTTACTGAAGACTGGACCTGATGTTAATGTACAGAACAATTCAGGTAACACACCACTTCATACATTAGCAGGACGGGGATCTACAAAGTGTGTTGATGTGTTACTGAAGTCTGGAGCTGATGTTAATGTACAGAATAATACAGGTGACACACCACTTCATACAACAGCAGCAGCAAAGTGGGGAACTACAAAGTGTGTTGATGTGTTCCTGGAGGCTAGAGCTGATGTTAATGTACAGAATAATACAGGTGACACACCACTTCATAACGCAGCAACAGTGTGGGGACCTCCATGATGTGTTGATGTGTTGGTGAAGGCTGGAGCTGATGGTAATGTACAGAATAATACAGGTGACACACCACATCATACAACAGCAGCAGCAAAATGGTTATCTACAAAGTGTGTTGATGTGTTACTGAAGGGTGGAGCTGATATTCATGTACAGCATAAGTCAGGTGACACACCACTTCAAGGGGCAGCAGCAGCAATATCGGGATCTACAGAGCGTGTTGATGTGTTACTAAAGGCTGGAGCTGATGTTAATGCACAGAAAAATACAGGTGACACACCACTTCATAAAAGCAGCAGCAGTGTGGGGACCTAACGTGTTTGTTCATGTGTTACTGAAGGCTGGAGCTAATGTTAATGTGCAGAATAATAGCGGTGACACACCACTTCATACAGCAGCAGGACGGGGACCTACGGTGTACTTGATAGAGCAGCAGCAGCAATATCGGGATCTACATAGTATGTTAATGTGTAATTGAAGGATGTAGCTATTGTTAATGTACACAATAATACAGGTGAGACACCACTTCAGAGAGCAGCAGTAGCAAAGTGGGAATCTACAGAGTATGTTGACGTATTAGGAAAGGCTGAAACTGATGTTAATGTACAGAATAATACAGGTGACACACCGCTTCATAGGAGAGCAGGGCGGGGATCTGCATAGTATGTGGATTTGTTACTGAAGGCTGGAGTTGATGTTAAAGTACAGAACAATACAGGTGACACACCACTTCATAAGGCAGCAGGACGGTGATCTACAGAGTGTGGTCATTTGTTACTGTAGGCTGGACCTGATGTAAATGTACTGAATAGCACAGGTGGCACACCGCTTCATAGGGCAGCAGAACGGGGATCTACAGAGTATGTTGATGTATTCCTGAAGGTTGGAGCTGATGTTAATGTACAGAATAATACAGGTGACACACCACTTCATAGGGCAGCAGGACGGGGATCTACAAAGTGTGTTGATGTGTTACTGAAGGCTGGAGCTGATGTTAATGTACAGAATAATACAGGTGACACACCACTTCATAGGGCAGCAAAGTTGGAATCTACAGAGTATGTTGATGTGTTACTGAAGGCTGGATCTAATGTAAATGTACTGAATAATACAAGTGGTACACCACTTCATAGGACAACAGGACGAGGATGTACAGAGTATGTTGATGTGTTACTGAAGGTTTGAGCTGATGTTAATTTACAAAACAATACAGGTGACACACCGCTTCATACAGCAGCAGTAGCAAGGTGGAAATCTACAGAGTATGTTGATGGGTTACTGAAGGTTGGAGCTGATGTTAATGTACAAAATAATACAGGTGACACACCACTTCATAGAGCAGCAGCAGCAGCAAAGTTGGTATCTACAGAGTGTGTTGATGTGTTACTGAAGGCTGGCGCTGATGTTATAGTACAGAAAATACTGGTGACACACCACTTCATAACGCAGCAAAATGGGGATCTACAGAATGTGTTCATCTGTTACTGAAGGCTGGCGTTGATGTTAATGTACAGAAAATACAGGAGAAACACCACTTCATATGGCAGTATAATGGGGATCTACCGAGTGTGTTGATGTGTTACTGAAGGCTGGAACTGATGTTAGTGTACTGAATAATAAAGGTGAAACACCACTTCATAACGCAGCAACAGTGTGGGGACCTCCATGGTGTGTTGATGTGTTGGTGAAGGCTGGAGCTGATGTTAATGTACAGAATAATACAGGTGACACACCACTTTATAGAGCAGCAATAGCAATGTGTGAAAATACAGAGTATGTTGATGTGTTACTGAAGGCTGGATCTGATGTTAATGTACAGAACAATACAGGTGACACACCACTTTATAAAGCAGCAGTAGCAATGTGTGAATCTACAGAGTATGTACATGTATTACTGAAGGCTGGATATGATGCTAATTTACAGGACAATACAGGTGACACACCACTTCGTAGGGCAGCAGGACGGGGATCTACAGAGTGTGTTGATGTGTTACTGAAGGCTGGAACTGATCTTAATGTACAGAACAATACCGGTGACACACCCCTTCATAGGTCAGCAAAGTGGGGATCTACAGAGTGTGTAGATGTGTTACTGAAGGTTGGAGCTGATGTTAATGTACAGAATAATACAGGGGATACATCACATCATGCAGCAGCATCAGTAGTATAAACAATGGGGGTACGGGACCAGCCAATTTAAGGCAAGGAATCAATAAGTACCTATTCCTAACTCATATTAGTTTATAAATCCATAACGCAACTACTTTTTATCTCCCCTGTAAAAAGTATCCATAGTCTTACTCGAAATATTAAGACCATGGCTACTTTTCAGGTCGATAAAAAGTATGGGGTCAGTATGGGGTCACCATATATAGGGCAAGCAATCTTCCTCAATTTGTAAACCCATAAGATCACATCAATTTAAAATATTGACTTCAGCAAAACAATTTAACGTGTATCTTCTATGATGTCTTTGGTTTTTGTAATAAATGCTTTTTTGGCTTGTTATATCCCTTGGCTTATGTATTTTTTTCCCGTTCTCGCTGATAGCAGAACTGTTTTGATGAAGCTTTAATCAAATCTCTTCTTTCATTTTTTTATATTTTTCGAGTTCACATAGGATCAGACGAAACTCTTCCTCTGATATTTTTTTATCATTGAGTGTGGTGGAATTAAGGTCTTCTATAGTGTTTAACTTTGCTTCAGCAAGAATTCTAATTTCATCGTGTTTCTTAGCTTTATGATTCAATTTGCGAGATACCAATTTAAACACTGACCCAGCTATTCCTGTCACTACAGCTGTTATTTCAAGGCCTAATACCACTGGTGCGGCTACGATGGTGGTCAACAATCCAACTCCTACTGCTCCTAATCCCATGTTAGTTGTCATAAGGGTGGTATCAGCCCCATCCAAGTAGTTTAAAGCTCTATTTTTTGTGTAGCGATGCCCAAATATCACGGTCTTGTTCTAGCTGACGTTTTGTTTCACATATCTGTTTAAGTCGAACCCCTTCTCCACTTCCCTTTATATTTTCTTCATCATCAAAGAGTGGGTATAGCCCCATTTTGTGTGTTTATAATTTATTTTATAAATCATTTTTTAATCATATATCATTTAATTTTTGATTAATATATTTGAGGCTTATAAGGTTTAGATTATTGCACAGGTAAATGGGTGAGACATTAATAGGTATATTTTCATCTAAAATACGAACCCCATCTAGGCTTATTAATGGTTTATAACCTTGTCTTGTTATGATTCGGCAGCGTTTATTCTCATGTCTTCTAAACCAAATTATTCTCAGGCCGTCTAAAAGTATTCTTGGACTGGGCGTCTCTGCGAGATATACGTCTATAACTAGCGAGGTGTGTGATTTTATACCATAATTTGAATCTGAAAAAAAATCACATTGGTAATCGTAAATGCTGTGAATGAATAAACTGGCATTCAAGCCGACTGGAGCTAACATGTTACCAGTGTGCCCTGGTATTCGTAATACTTGAACAGTATTTTCTTTTAAGGGATTAAAGGCCTTAAGAAGAATCCTGTTGTTTGTAATTTTGAAAACGAAATCATTTTGATTCATAAAGATGTAAGTTGAGGTTAGTGTTATTTTAATTAACCATTCAAGCTCTAAAATCTCTGCTAGTGACATTCGTTCGTATACGTCGTCTTTATCGTATAGTAGGTACGGGGTGTCTTCCTCACCAGGTAAATTGAACCGCTTTGTGTCTCCTAGATCACCGAGTGTTACATTGGGGTGATGACTTACCATTGTTTATATAACTGTTATAAAACTGTTTCCAATTGTTTTTTTCTGATAATTTCTCAGGCGTTAACTTCAATTCCATAAAATGTATGTTCTCGGATAGAAAAATACTGGCTAGAGATATAGTGTCTTCCACGTTAACTGTGATACCCAGCAGACTGATGTGTGAATCATCTCCCACCCGCACGTAAATAGAGTAAACGCGATACTGGTGTTTTTTTTTATCCCACTGGAGTTTGATTATATATAACTTTATTCAGTAGAAAGGCCACAGGCCCATGTAGAATGTATATTTCACGATTCCCTTCACGATCTCAATCTCACTCTGCGTTGGTTGGCCTAGGTAGACTTAGATGAACAGCGTGGAATTCTCCGGTAGATTTTGCAAGATGTTGAGCACACCGTCGAATTCAGACACCAACTTCAATACCGCGTTTTTCTCCCTGGTTTAACCGATAGCATGTGGGCTTACATAGCCGAGAGTGGGCTGATGATTACACTGCGTCTCTCTGATGGGACGTAAGCCACGATGCGGGTTCCGTTGTTAACGACTTTGTTTAGTAAGTGGTCTTTGTTTTCCGTGAATACCTGGGGAACTTAGTGTGATGTTGAGAAACCAGTTGATTCGAGATGGTAACACCATCCACTTGTTATCGTTATTGAGCATTAGATAGTACGGTTTGTTTTGATCAACGTTCGTTCTGTCAAAGTCTTCAAAATCGAGCAATTTACCACCGAACGATGGGTATATTCTCCATTCATCCTCGTCGTTGCGAACTATATCATATCGAGTGTTGCTGGCAGATCTTGATGTGTCTAGGTTAAAAGTACTACCAGATCCACTGACGACGGGAACTTCAACTCGTTTGTAAATGCTGTTTAAAAGCTTAAAAGCGTATATTTTACCATCTATTCCTGATTCATCAAACCCCTAGTATCACCTAGGTCTGATAATCCTACATTACTGCATCTTTTTACTCGCATTCCTGGGCCCTGATTGCTAGCCATTATTGTATATGTAGTGTTACGCTGAGGTATCCTATATTTATATTATTATTTTTTGTATCTAAAATTGATATTTTTAATTCAGAAATATTACCATTTATCAATTTTTTATACTGTCGCGATGAAAACGACTCGGTGCGTCCGTCATTGTATTTTTCTATTTTAACCGGGACAGCCCTCAACAACGTGGAAGGACGTTCACTTTGTACATTATCTGTTGTGCTAAGCTGATCGAGATGAACGCATAGCTCGCGGTATGGAACTAGATCTGGTAACTTCGTACCAGTGACGGTAATCTTAGGGTCTATTGTTAATCAACACCACTGTTCCGTTTGAGTCATTTATTTTGAGTTCAGCTCCTAAGGGTTTGAAAACTTCATCATTGAGAGAACACACGCTGTAGTATCCATATGTTATTTTATGTAGAAATCCACCAAAGAACACCTTATTATCATTGCTGTTGATGTTTGTCCATCGCGGGTAGTATATCACATAGTGCTATTTCGACTTGACCAGACGTGTTATCAATAACATGCATAAGTTGAATGGCCTCACCGTTCGTTACATCTGGAAGCGTAATGTACATATTTATAAATATTTATATATTATATAATAATATGTATAAACCCGAAGTACCTTACCCAAAAACGACAACATAATTAATATGTAAAGGCTTATGACTTCACACACATGAAAATAGTGGATGACACGGCTGGTTCGTACTTCAACACCCAGTTTATAGACGTGTTTAAAAATTATAGGTTTTCGGTCACTAACGTTAAAACGGTTCACGATTGGTTTCACAACCTTATGCAGTTCTGGCAGAATCAATTCAATTTTGCCGTGTGGTGTGCGACAACTGGATGTGGTTTGACATTTACAGACACTAGGCGTAATGAGCTAAGTAAATCCGCTTTCACTTTCCACGTGTATTACCAGGTAAGGCATATCCTCAAAGAAATCAGCACCCCGGTCCCACAGGACAAGGCATGGGATGCAGTAAACAATCTGTATGATCGACGTGCGTATGAACGGATTTGTAATGAATTCGAACTAGACCCAAAGACGGATTGGCGTTTGACGGGCCCAAACCATGGGTTGGGTATCCCTATCGTTCACAACATGCCCCTGGTGGAAGCCAGCAAAAAGCTAAAAGAATGGGGTGGTAAAAGATATGCGAATGCTTACGTCACGAGTAACGAGTGGAGAGATGATCTCATGTCTTTCGACGACAGCAAGGATTACCGAGTATGGAGGTTCGAGCAGGGTCCGGATGACTGAAAAATATTTATGCTGGACACGTCGAAGGGTTTTACTCATGCTGGTGTTATCAGATTGAACGATTGGATTCGAACGTACGTGTGGGCTATCTAGGGTCTCAATCACAGACGCGTTCTAATGTTATAGGTAAGGGAACGGCTTACGATTCTCAAAAACAGTTCGTGGCTAATATTGAGGACGCTATCGCATCACCAGTAGATATACCTAGTGCTATAAAACGATATGAGGATACGTTGCAATACGTCAGGTCAAAAATCGACTATGTGTACGGTGTTGGATTGTACATGGCTCCGAGTGATATGCGTCTGAGAATCAATAACATAACAGGCTACAACAATGAAATAATCATCGCCACAGCCGACCAAAAATTTGGTGTTAACGCCGACGTCAACGTCTCCCATGTACCACCACCCACGAATACTGGTGAAACGGGTATAGTGGCATCACCCCAAGAGTCTAGGGTTCAGTCCACACCACCACAACTCCAACCACCACACGTGCGGGTGTCTAATCAGCAGCACATCGACCGTAAAACAGCGCTTGGTGGTTGTTGGGATCAGCTGCTTGGCTTGGGTTTCATCTGGTTAAAATTCCTTAGCGCCACGCACACCAACCCGGCAATGACGACGATGAACGCCTACAGGTTTTGACTGAGCCACACGACTGTTTTCGAGAGAGTGCTAAGCAACCACGAGACGATGCTACCCAGGATACCTGGCATGTCTTCGGCGGCTTTACTGGCGAGTTTAGCCAGGGCTTCCCCTAGTGATTTCAGATGTTTTTTTATCCAGTCTCTGACGTCACCACCACTCGGTGGTTTTGGTGGTGTTGGTGTTCCTCCACCACCAGTCAGCGATACGACCATGGTCGATATGATGAAGCCAAATGCTGTCAGAACGCTGACAATGGTGATGCCTTGCTCTCGGTACAATATTCGGATCCTGTCGGCCAACGTGGGTATCCTCGCTCAGTACTGATCGATGGTTCCCCGCGATACGGCTGATCTGAGATCGGCTGTTCTCGATTCGAGGAAGCAGATTCCAATCGGGTCTGTCTCTCATCTTGTAAATTACGTAGTCGTTCTGTGATACTACGCTTCATATCATCTTCAGTTTCGGTGAGTTTGTTTTTTTCATTTGCGGTGTGCTCGTCGAGTTTGTTCAGTTTATCCATATTGTTCACGAGTTCTCTACGTACATGTTTCAAGGTTTCATCTAAACCATACACTTCCCTCATTGGAAATTTAAAACCAGGTAACG